GCCCTGCACTTTTTAGAGAGAGAGATAGAGACAGAGAGCACTTTCTAGAGAGAGAGAGTGTGTGCATCATGGCAAGTGGGTTTGAATTATAATTTGTGTTTCCTTTTGTCTCACAAATGGAGATAGTGGCCGCACTGTTTGATCACATCTTGTTTCCCTTTTTCTGTTTGTTTATTATGCTATCTCAATCCTCCTGAATAGTAATGAAATGGACAGGAATCTCTCTCTTCAACATATGTTCTAGGAATCTCTCTCTCTCTCTATTTTGTAGCATGGATATAGTTTTGTAAATGTTGCAAAAATACAGAAATACAAAGCTAATTTATTACACTTTGGTGAATTTTGTTAAAAAAAAGGTTGACACCTTAAATTGTGGAATTAAGGTGTACCTCAAAACTCCATAGGAAATGCTACTTGTACTTGAAAACCATCTTATTGATCGTCTCAGAGATGTGTCAATATATATATATATATATATATATATATATATATATAAAAAAGGGTGCGGTTTATATAAAACCTAGGCTCTAAACGATCAAATTAGAACCTACCTTCAAATAGTGTCAAGAAATTACCTTTCAATACTAGAAATCTTTGTGATAGCCTTAAAATATATTTTCATATTTATTTATAAAGTTTAAAGCTTCATAAATAGTGCATATCGATAAATCTATGAAAACTTGAAAATATTGAAAATTGACGGCCCAAAAATACGTTACAAAAGACAAAGTTTTTATAACTTGAAATCCATGTTTTTTCTCATGTCCATGCAGCTTGATGTCGAGATGATCAATTTGAAGATATTTGAGCATCAAAACAACCTCTTCAGGTGAAATTTTCGAGGTAGGCTCTAATTTCATTGTTTAGAACCTCAGCTCTATATAAACTTTTTCCATATAAAAAATTCAAGTATGAAAAATAGTACATTCCGCAACAGATTATCAGGGCCGTCTATTTTCAAGATTTTTATATGTTTATAAAATTGCTTGATTTGAACGATTTTTGGAATTTGAAATCCTGTAATTAGTGATGAAAATAAATTCTCGCAGTATCTTAAAAATATTTGATTCCAGCAAAATTGAAACCTTGTACAAACCTCACTCTTTTGTGAAAGACCACTATTTTGTTGAAGAATGTTCCTCGCACGCAATAGATGAGAGAACTACGTATCCTTCCTAGTTCATAGTTGTTCCCAATTTAGAACTTTTATTTAGAACTTCTAAGATTATTTTGAAGTAATATTCTTGGATAGGATTGGTTTTAGAGATTGTTTGGATGTATTTGTTATTATTGATAATTCACTATTTAAAAAAATTAATTGTCATAATGAATTATTTGTTGTTTGGTAGTTCCACTTATAAAATTATTTGAGATCAAGGTATAGGCAGTTATACTTCAAGTTTTATGTTTTTTAAAAGGGATTGTACACGATGAGACCATTTGCCAATCGTACAAGGAGGTCACAATTGCTTATGACCATCGGACGTGAAATTTGATATATTAAGCGTGTCATAAATTTCGAGAAAATTTCTTTTAAACTTTGAGGTTGATCAATGGAATAAATACAACCACGCATTTTTGCATCCAATTGTCAAGATTAATTGTGACCACCTTGTATCAATGGTAAATAATTTGAAAAAACTATTATACTTTATTCAGGGTAATTAGTTGAAAATAGCATATTTTTAGTAAAAAAAATCTAAAAATAGCTAAATATAACCAAAAATTTGAAAATTTAAATAATAATAAATAAAATATAAGGTATGTGCGAAATAGCTCGCAAAACCATATTGTGCATAGTCTCTTGATAATATTAATTGTCATCCAAACAAGCTTTCAATCATTTGCCTGGGGTAAGAACAAGTTGCTTTTTTAAAAAAAAAAAATTGCGCAGCGCACAATTGCAGGCTACAAGCAATAATGGCTAACCCCATTGCCTATCCTACAATTAAAATTCAAATGAGATTTAAAGTGAATAAAAATAAGATAACCCAAAAGAGGAGAATTTACAAACACACAACCTGCTTAGTAAACCCAACACCCAAACTTACTAGTCACACTACGAAGCCGTGGGAAAGAGTGATTGCGTAACGACTAAGGTATGTAACGACTATATTAGAAAGTCAATTTAATTTTATGTCCGGGAGATCAAGAACTGATGTATTTTTCTACTTAAACAACTTATTGAAGGTTAGGGCAAAAAGAAAAAGGCTCAATATGGTATTTATTGATCTAGAGAAAGCTTATGATAGAGTATCTCGATATTTGATTTGGCGGGTGTTGAAAAGAAAGTAATCTCTAGACACTACATCGACGTGGTGAGAAATATGTACGAGGGAGTTCTAACTAGTGTACGAACAGCTAGTGGAGATATTAGTGAGTTTTCAGTGATGATATGTCTACATTAGGGATCAACATTGAGCTCATACCTTTTGTCTTGGTTATGGACAACTTAACTAAGCATCTACAAGATGAGATACCGTGGTGCATGTTGTTTGTGGATGACATAGTTTTGATCGATGAAACCTAAAATGGCGTCCATACAAAGTTAGAACTTTGGAGGGATGCTCTAGAATCTAAAGGTTTTAAACTTCGCCGGAGTAAAACACAGTATATGCAATGCAAGTTTAATAGTAATAGGAATAGATATGAGAAAATAGTTAAAGATTGACGACCAAGAAATACAAAAAAGAACGCATTTTCAATATCTTGGGTCGATAATCTAGGAAAATATAGAGATTGTGGAAGATGTCACACAGAGAATTACAGCTGGGTGGATGAAATGGAGATATACAACTTGAGTTTTATGAGCTCACTGCATACCAATGAAGCTGAAGGACAAGTTCTTCAGAACAGTTGTGAGACTAGATTTGCTTTATGGGGTAGAATATTGTTTAGTCAAGAAATAACATACCTGTAGAATGACTGTAGCTGAGATGAGAATGTTGAGATGGATGAGTGGTGAGACAAAAAAGAATATAATTTAAAATAAATACATTCAGAAGAATTTAAGTGTAACACCAATAGGCGACAAGATCAAATAAAGTAAACGTAGGTGTACAGGCCATGTGTTGTGCAGACCCAATACAACACTTGGTAGGAGATGCAAGTTGGTTCAAATAGAAAGCTAAAAAAGAGAAAGGGGTAGGCCCAAAAGGTATAGTTGGGAGTAGTGAGAAAGGATATAGGGACTTATTACTTCACTGAAAGTATAACCCTGAATAGAGCATAATGACGAACCAGAATTCATGTAGCTAACCCCAATTAGAGGGAAAAAAGCTCTAATGATGATAATGAGTTTCCTACCAAATACCTCATGTGTTCCTAATGCAATTTCCTTTCTTCATAAACCTTTATATGTGCCAATAATATAGGAAATACATATACGCCACCTCTCTCCCAACCGTCTGATCTAAATGGATAACTAAGACAGCTTCAGTTATGATGACACAAGTGAGCCTCTAACCATTTGATCTTTGATCTAACAGGTTAGCAGTATTTTATTTTATTTATTTTTATAAATACATAATGTATCATAGAAGTGCATCTAAAAAATATAAAGTATATTCGGACAAATAAAATAACAAGGGATAGCTAGGATAGCTTCTTAAGCAATGATGTCACAAGTGAGCCTCTAACCATTCAATCTTTGATCTAACAGGAAAGAGTATTTTATTTTTATTTATAAATCATATTAACACCAAATTTGGGGCATGCCATCCTCTCATAGAAGTGCACCTAAATATATATAAAGAATATTTTGACAAAATAAAATGACCAAACTACTCCTAAAGTTTAGTCTAGTCATTTTATTTCATTATAATTATTTTTTAGTTTTAAGTGTTTTGGTGTGCCCTACCTCATATTTGATGTTAATATGATATGTAAAAAAAAAAAATTGCATTTAGGTGTGACATTGTGCTTGAGGCCATATCAACCATCTAATCGATCGAATGGTTGGGAGAGAGGTGATATATATATATATATATATATGAAAAATACTAAAATTAGCCCACTAGTTCACATGAATATATGAGCCTAACGACTCAAATTGAATCTAGGCCGATGTGACGATCTTGACCACATTTGGTATTTGAATTTTATTTTATTTTTATAAATTCAAATAACTTGAAATTTGAGGCAACCATTTTTCTCATCAAAACGCACTCAATAAAAATATTTAAAAAATATTTCATAAAAAATAAATTAACCAAATTACCCCCATAACTTTTCAGATGTATTTTGATCAATTTATTTCTTACAAATTATTTTTTTAATATTTTTATTAGATTCTCCTATGTTTTAATAACACAACTAAAATTTCAATATTAAAATTCAAATACGACATGAAGTCGTGACCCTACATATCGGCTCAGATTCTAATACTAGACCGTTGAACTCATATATTCATATGAACTAGTAGGCTAATCTCAGTATTTTCGTACATATATATATATATATATATATATATATGAAAGTTTGCTTTTTGAGAAAATTACTGATACCCCCCAAATATGAACTTTGTAAACTCTATCCCCAATACTTTTAATATCACAATATAAATCCAAATACTATTTTTTCTTGCTGTCACCCCCTGATCAAAAAGCAAATTATTTAAAAACTAAACTACCTTTCTCCCTCTCTTTCCCTATACAAGAGAAAGAGAGGGCAAGTAGAGAGAGAAAAAGATGGTAGATAAAAAGAGAAAGAGAGAGAGAGGACTAGAAAGAGAAAGAGAAAGAGAAAGAGTGGAATGTTAGTTTAATATTTAAATAATTTACTTTTACTCAAGGTAAAAACAAAAAAAAACAATGACGGTGTTTATAGTATGATATTTAAAATATTAGAAGTAGAATGTCTACAAAGTTCATCTTGAAAAATATCCACAATTTTGACTCGATTTAGAGTATAATACTAGAAGCATTGAAAATAGAATGTCTGCATAGTTCATTTTGAAGAACATCCAGAATTTTCCTTACATATTTTTCCTGTAACTAATGGCGTACAGAAATATTCCCCTTCTCTTGAACCGTAGAAAATAATAATACCTCAACAAGGTGGATTTTGGTAGAGAGAGATTTTACCACTTCATATGGCAACATCACGCGACACCAGTCAAAAACTGAATAACACCCATTCTTGCAAGGACCTGGTTTTTGTCCGGCCAAGCCCGTAAATGTAGAAATGTGGGCCTATTAATAAATCAAATTTTGAGATGGATTTTTTTACTTAATTTTTAAGGATATGTTGATCATGAATATGAAAAAATGAAATTAAAAAAAATAATAATAATAATTCTAGTTAGAAAACATTTGGACCATTAGTTTTCATCGTTATTAGATGGAAAACCTACTTGCATCAATCGCAATCTTAAAGATGGATCCTTTACACTTTTTGGACCACATATGCAGTCATGCGCCCGCATGAGACCAGTTTCCTTCTTGCAATTGCCACACAAGTCAACAACTGAATAACTCCCATTCTTATAATTGCCTCAGGATGATCAAGATTTTGCAACATCGATTTGCCCTAATCGTTTCTGCCAATATATATAAACAGCACCTTTTAAATTGATATTAATGTAAGTCAAAATTTCCATAGCTAAAACCAATAGGAAAATCCAAAACTTACCAAATTTGTCAAAAGACCACATGAAATGAACTCCAAGGGATCACCATGGAAAACCCTCCCACATTTCCATCACTTCAATTGTTATGAGAGAGTCGCCCCCCTCAGTAAACAGCTTCAACGACCAGCAAAAAAGAGTCGTTGCAAAGTATACGTAATAAATGGAAGTAATCACTATGATGTAGAGAATGAAGATCTAACCAAAAATATTGCCAATTTGAGCATAGCTATTCCTTAGAACCAAGATCAATTTGATGAGTCTGCAAGCTTCAACTTCATCCCATAAATTATTCGTCCTTACTGGCAACGAACATGACAGCGCCGCAAAAAAATACACCACACCACATATGGCTACATGGCCGTCAAAAAGTGCTAAAGACCACACTCCCTTCTCCCATGACTAGTAAAAAAAAGCACTCATCCGTTTCAATGGCAGAGATGTGCATCTAACTGTGCTTACGAGCCATCGTACATGAATAGGCATGCTCTGATTTCATTTATGCATACCCATCTGCCTGCATGTGTACAATTACCACTGGTGAGGCAAAAGAGAGCAGATATATGAATTAGAGATCAGGGGTCAGGGATATTAGTTGTGCACCTGAATTGCCCCGCGACAACGTCCCTCTTATTCACTGAGACTGACCACCTCCTTCAATAATTTACAGACAGACTGCTTTATCACTTGAGGAACCAACAGCTCCCGTGGCACCATATTAAGGGCATAGAAGCAAATGACTCTCATCACATCAGATAGAACCACCTTCTCCTGTTTAAGCACTCCTTGGTTTCTCACCTTGCATAACTCCTTAAGTATGCAGGGTCGACAAACCTGAAACCATTACAAGATAAGGTACCCCACATATATATACAAATACACATAGGCTTACATGCATACATCCTCTCTCTTTCTCTCTCTCTCTCTCTCTCTCTCTCTCTCTCTCT